GTAATCTGCTTATTGGAAACTTACTAGTTAATGAAAGCTCTTTGGTGGTAAATCGTTTTAAATTGGCAATCCCTTTGGCACACAGAGCTCGAGAGAGGCTCTATTCCCATTCTTTCAACAAAAATCAGCTGTGGTCTCCGACCTATTTATTTAGAGGTAAACTCAACCTTGCCAAGTGTAGGAAAGACTGGGAGAGCACACAGCTTCACTGGGCTGGGGCATATCCTCATTTGGAAGAGACTTCTTTCTTCTTTAGTTTTTCCTTAGTGTTCTTACATCAGCTAGTATATTAGTTGCAGTTGTACTTTGCACAGACACTAATTAGAGAGTCATCAACATTGGGGTCCAAAGGCTTACTGACAATGTAACTGTCATAGTGGCATCTTAATTGGTTGAGTGTAATTGTCATTAGGCAGCGATAAAGACATCTGGAGCTCTGGAGAAAAATCAGCTTTTTTTCCTACCTCCTTTCGTTATCTGTTCTTGCTTCTCCTGGCCAATGTTGTTAAGCACTTTTAGATCACATTTAAGGTTTGGTCCAGGTCCCTCTGCCCCAACCTGTGTTTTACCCTACCAAAGATGTCTGTTTCCTTAGCACAAGTTCATTAGCATGGAGGCTGCCTCCCATGCTATTGTGGCTTTCACTTAGGTTAGATTTGAGAGCCCGCTGCTGAGTCATAACACAGTACCTGCTGCAGTAGGGTGTTTAGCCTCAGTTCCTGTCAATACAGGAGACGTAGAGCCTTTTATATTTTACCTCCTGAGTCATTTTGCAGCAAAACATTTTTGTTATTATCATACCTTTTGGTCATGGAGAATGAAGCTAATTTAAATAGATATATGGAAAATTTCTAGCTTATCCCCTGTTTTATAGTTTTCAGTCAGTTTGGAAATAAGTGGAAGCAGTCTAATGCACATCAGTGTGTGCATTCTGCGTGTTTCACTAATCATTACCACTGGAAAGTGGGCAGTGGAAATAAAGAGGTACCCCTCAAGCCAGTCAGGTTGTTACCTGCGGACACCCCCTTTCAGTCACCATTTATTTATGATTAGCTCTGTGTAAGGCACTGTGATGGAGGCTATGGCACTGCGGTAGGGCCTTCTTGAAGACTTTACAGTCAAGTTGAGGAGACGATCAATGCATATGGACTGTAGTAGTAAAAGCAGTTTCTTCAGATAAAGGGCATAGTAGTTGAGTCAGAAAGCTTCAGGCTTCATGGAGGAAGGGAGGGCCTATAGTAGACCTTGAGGGTTTGGTAGGATTGGGCTGAGTTGGTGGTTCTCAATCTTGGCTGTATATTGAAAACATTGATACCTGATTCTATCCCCGGACGGTCAGATTTATTTGGTCTGGGAGGCTGGAGTGCAGTGGCACGATCTCAGCTCACTGCAACCTCCACCTCCCAGTTCAAGCGATTCTTCTGCCTCAGCATCCCAAGTAGCTGGGATTACAGGCATGCACCACCACACCCGGCTAATTTTTGCATTTTTTGTAGAGACGAGGTTTCACCATGTTGGCCAGGCTGGTCTTGAACTCTTGGCCTCAGGTGATCTGCCCACACCCCCCCGCCCAGCCTCTCAAAGTGCTGGGATTATAGGCATAAGCCACCGTGCCTGGCCTGTATCTGGACTTTTTAAAGCATTCCAGGCAATTTTAATGTGCAGCCCAGGCTGGACCCCACTGGGCTGGGAGATGAGGAGGTGAAGAACTGCAGGAAGGTGGGGCAGGGAATCAGTTCAGAGGCAAGAACATTTGGGAGCCTCTCTGGAGGCTGGCTTGTGTGAAGGGAGAGTAGAAGATGAGGCTGGGGAGAGGGGTGGAAGCTAGTTTGTGGAGTTTTTTCAGTAGGTCTCATAATTAAAATTTAATTCAATAAGGTGTTAAGATGTAAGACCTTATAGAGGGTTCTCGGGGTGTATGGCAAGTACTGTTCTAGTCTGACTGTTGTAGTCATTGCATGCACAGCTGTGAACAAAACCTAGGCCCTGAGCTCAGAAGCTTCAAGCTGGTAGGGAGATGAACAGTGAGATGATCACAGACACCCACAACTGCCATGAGGGAGACATCCAGGCTGCCATCAAGGTAGATCGTAGTGCAGTGTAGTGTGGCACGTGAGGGAGAAAGGAAGTGGTTCCAGAAGAAAGATTCGTGCAGTCAGGTGTTTTGAAGGGCTTGGCTTGTGGGGGAAGACTGAATGAAAGCAGCTCGGAATCAGGGAGGCTGTGGTAGTCGGGTGTGAATGTGAGGTGTTGGGAGATTTGGACCAGGGTGGCCTCTCTGGGAATGAGCAGAACAGAACAAGCTTGGCACCTGAGTATATATAGTGGTGTGGGTAGTGGGCTAGAGCGATGTTGAAGGGGCCCCTCTCCTTCCGTACCAGTGACCTGGGACTGATGATCCCATTGATAAAAATAAGGAATTCAGACACCGGCTAGTTTGGCCATGAGCTGAAGCATTTGATTTTAGACGTGTGGAGTCACAGTGTGAGTGGACCAACCTCCTCTGTGGGAGAAATGCTTGCCCAGGAGCCCCTCAGATATGAATAGAGTGCTGCTATCTGTGGGGTTCCTGCCCTCCTTCTCTCCTCTTTCCCTGAGTAAGGAGCGGGCTCAACAGTTTCTATTTCACAGCTCACTATTGTCTGGTTCAGCAGCTAAAGCACTTTTTTCCAAGCTTTGTTGTTTTGCTGTCATTTTGGCTCAGTACTCTGTGTTCAGGGAGCTGGGAGGCTGGAGCTGAGGCCACCTAAACCGTCTTGCCTCTCCACCCTTGCCTCCCCACTGTGTCCCCTGTGGGAGCACCACCGAAAACAGTGTGCAGACTGCTGGTGTGGTGTGACACATGGTTAGCAGGAAGCAGAAGGACAGAGACTGGTAGGAAGGAAATACAGTTTCCTAGTTTATGTACTTCTTTTTCTCAACGTGCCTTACTTTTCTGATCTGAATTCCCTTTATCTTTCACTTACCATCTCTGTATTTCCAAAAGGCGTTGCCATCCTTCTTATCTTTCCTGAATTGGCTGGTTCCTGTTACATAGAATTTAACCATAGGAATCTAGTCCCACAGTCTAGACGTTCAAACATGTCTCATCTGTTGTGTCTCTGTAGCTAAGCAAGTGGCCTTACTCCAGCGAATGGCCTGAGTTGTTCTCAGGGTATCACACTGAGCCCGGTATTTTGAGGGCAGTGAGGTCCATGGTATGTGTTCTGGTGTAGGGTTCCTCGTTCAGAGGGGTGAGCTGACCACTGCCTGGAGAGCCTGGGGGCCAGTGGCCATGCTTTGGCTGGGGTGATCTCAGTTATCTGCCCTTGCTTGCACTTTGCTGGGCTTAAGGACATTCATCTTGTGTTTCTGCTTACTGGAGGATCAGTGGTCAACCCAGAGGCACAGCAGGCCAGGTTCAGAAAGCATGTCTCTCCCGTTTGGCTCTTTATCCCACTTGTGCACTCTCTGGGTGCCATGCTGCAGGTAGACAGCCAAGTTCTCCAACCAAGGAATTGGGGTGACAGAATGGCCTTTGGACTGTGCAATATATGTATTTACTGTAGATTAAGAATTTGGATGCAGTACTACTAGTAAACAAAGCACTCCTGAATCACAGTACTTCTCTATAAGAAATTCCACCTGAGGCCAGTTGTGGTGGCTCACACCTGTAATCCCAGCACTTTTGGAGGCCAAGGTGGGTGGATCACTTGAGGCCAAGAGTTCCAGACCAGCTGGGGGCAAAGCCCCATCTCTACTGAAGACTGAAAAAACAAACTGGCCGGACATGGTGGTGCATGCCTGTAATCCCAGCTACTCGGGAGGCTGAAGCAGAAGAATTGCTTGAACCTGAAAGACAGAGGTCTTGCAGTGAGCCGAAATTGTGCCACTGCACTCTAGCCTGGGTGACAGAGTGAGACCCTGTCTCAAAAAAACGAACAAAAGAAAACGAAAACCAAGAAATTCCAGGTTGATCTTCTATAGCTACTTCACTAATGTGTCACATCATAGATTTCAGTGACTCAGTGAATCTCAGAGGTTATCGCATCAACTCGCCAAAGAAACCCTGCAGGAACTATGGCTAGGGCCTCAGGAAGACTGTGAAACCCCTTAAATCCTTGGCCTATCTTTGTGATTGTGTGGTTCTATCATGAGGCCCTTAAAGGCATTTCTCACCCCTTTTCCCCCATAACACTCAATTGCTTTGCAAGTGGAATAAAACCCTCCGCAGCAGACATAGGCAACATAGCTTAAATACCTTGGTGACGGGCAGCACCCCACTTTATTATCTGGCCATTCTATCATCCTGGGGGCCTCGTGTCTGAGTAGGTTCAGCCTGGCCCTGGCTTTGATGGAAGGAGTCGTTTGTTGGAGTGGCACTAGTCATAGGAGAGAGTGAGTACTTCTGTTTTCTAAGTGGGCAAAACCAGGGAGTGTCGTGCATTCAGCAAGAGCTTTTCATGAGCAGGCAGCATTGTCTGGCTGCTAAAGGCAAGATTTAATTGTTTCAGCAAATCAATTAGTCTTTAGGGACTTTAATCAGTCAAATCTGATGCATGGATGAGGTATTAGAAAGCCTGTGCCTGTAAGACCATTAGTTCTGAGTATCCCTGCAGCATCTCTGTCTTTCGTATGAGCGAGTGTGTGTGTTTGTGGGTAAATAGTGTGGCTTATACAAATTTCTGCGAGTGATCCCTGCAGTGGGAGAGCTTGTAGGAGCAGATTGTTGTAATAGTGTAAAAGGAAAACCAAGGAGATCTTGCTACCCACGTCTTATTATTGTTTTCTCATTTGAGATTGTCACCATTGTGCTGTGAGAATGTGAAGCGTGTTCACAGCCTTCTGTCATCTAGTTGACATTTTCTCCTGTTGGAGTCACTCATCTAAACAGTGCCGCAGGAGTGGCTCCACACCACCTGATTCTTACTTGTCTGTTGTTGTAAGGCTCTATGCATTTTCCCCACCATAGCCCTGCTCTTCAATCCCTTTCTGGAACCAAGTGTGTCATTCTCTTCCAGATATACATCAGGGGACGTGAGAGTGTGGGACACCCGCACCTGGGACTACGTAGCCCCCTTCCTGGAATCCGAGGACGAGGAGGACGAGCCTGGAATGCAGCCAAATGTCTCCTTTGTGAGGATAAACAGCTCGCTGGCAGTAGCAGCTTATGAGGATGGTAAGTAACCACAACCCTCCTCCCTATTAAGGAAAAAAAAAGCTTTACAAAAATTAAGCAGCTGTGGCCGGCTCCCCCCTGTAATCCCTCCATACGTACACGTGGGCACACACACATGTTCACACACACACTCACTTTTGCCTTTATGTGAAGAAGTTGGCCAACAACCGTCAATGCATTAGTAGGCATTGGAACACAGCACCCATTAAAACTGGTGTTTAATTCCTACTGGAACTGTCAGGCTGGGCGCTAGTGCCAGACACAGGGCTGGCCAAAGCATCTTAAGCAAATAACTTGTTTGATGTAAAATATTAAATATACTTGGCCTACTTTTCCTTTAGCCTCTGCTCAGCCCAAAGGGAATAGCAAAAAGGGGATAGACATAGATCATCTATTGACAAATATGGATACAGAAAAATAAAAGTCAGTGCCTACCTTTTCCTGGCACTTAATATACCATACAAGATAATTGATAATAATATGTTTTCTCTTTGACATTGGTAGAATTCTTTTTGAACATGAACAACTATGGATTTTTGGAACTAGGTGGGAATAGTCTAAAGTTAGCTTTACCTATGTAAAGAAACTCTTGACAGTGTATAGCTGTCATGGTCATTTCAATGGCCATGATATCCAGTATGCCCACCTCTCATGCTCCTATCCTCCGTTATATCGTGAAGTGTTGAATCTCCACAAGCTTCATGACCCCACTTGCCCAAAAGTTGGGACCACAACATATTTCAGAATGTTAAGTGTTCATGTCATGGCACCACTGCAAATCTTCAGAGTCGTTGTGACATTAGCAGTTGGCTCAGAGGGACAAAACTAAAATAGCTAATGGGGAATTTTATACCCATGTGCTGTTTAAAAATAAAAATTAGGGCTGAGATCTTACATATATATACCTATATATATATTTGAGACAGGGTCTCACTTTTTTGCCCTGGCTAGAGTGCAGTGGCACTATCTCAGCTCACTGCATCCTTGACCTCCCGGGATCCAGCGATCCTCCCACCTCAGCCTCCTGAGTAGTTGGGACTACAGGCACATGCCACCATTCCCAGCTAATTTTTTGTATTTTTTTTTTTTAGAGATGGAGTTTCACCAAGTTGCCCAGACTGGTCTTGAACTCCTGAGCTCAAGCTGTCCACCTGCTTCAGCCTCCCAAAGTGCTAGTATTACAGGCATAAGCCACTGCGCCTGGTCTTGAAAATATTTTTGTATTTTATATAATTACTTTAGCAATGTGATGTTGGTTTGATGTTAGTAGACACTATTGATGGATTTCCTTTTCAGCCTACAGAAATTCAGCTAAGCTATTTCTGTGGTGTAATTAATATTTCATATATTTATTGAGACCCTGGATAGATACCATAAGAACAGCTTAAACATGTTTGCTACTTTCCAAATTATCAATGAGTTTTTTTTCCAAAATACCTATGCAAAGATTGCAATCCTTTTAAGTTAGAATCATACAGTTTTAGGATCATCTAATAGCCATCTCCTACCATTCACACACACGAATGTGCACACACATACTCTTCTACAGATGGGGAAACGGAGGTGCAAAAACCTACTTCAGCTAGGTAGGTGAAGTCAGCAGTGAATCCAGAACTGTGATTGTGTCTCCAGGGCCGTGCTGCGGTGGTCATGCTGTTTATGGAATCCTGGACATAAAGACTCTTGTAGAAATGTGCGCCCAATTGATTTGCAGCCCATGTCTCACATCTCGTGAGCTTGAAAATACAGCTTGAGGTCATGTGCAGGGGTGCTGCTGCTGGTTTTATGTTGTTAGAATTGTCTTCATTTCCCTCATCCCCTATTGTGGCACAGAAATCTTGGGAAAACAACGTAGGCATGATAAAGAATCTACTTTTTTTTTTTTTTTTTGAAACAGGGTTTTGCTCTGCCACCCAGGCTGGAGTGCAATGGCACCATCTCGGCTCACTGCAACCTCTGCCTCCTGGGTTCAAGCAATTCTCCCCTCAGCCTCCCGAGTAGCTGGGATTGCAGGTGCCCACCACAACAACCAACTAATTTTTGTATTTTTACTAGAGACAGGGTTTCACCATGTTGGCCAGGCTAGTAATCTACTTTCTTTGGTAAATGCTTAGCAATTGATTGCCAAAATATATTTTATATTCTTTTTTTTTTTAAGTCATAGTTAGAATTCAAACAGAGCAAAAATGTATATAAAATGACAAAGAAAAAGTATGCAAAAAGAAGTCGAGGTATTCCTCCCTGTCCCATTTCCAGGCCCTCTCACATTTTACTCGTGGAGGGGTCCTGCTGTATATACTTTTATACACTTTTTTTTTTTTTTTTAATAACTTAATGGCACATCTTGGTGGTCTTCTGTATTCACACTTACATGGTAAACTTTATTCTTTTTAATGCCTGTGTAGTACTGCATTATGTGGCTGTACCATCATTTATTTATTAGGACCCTCATTGATGCACATTTGAATTGTTCATTTTTGTTACTGAAAACAGTGCTGCAAGCAATATGCTTGAACGAGCGCCAAGATGGACTTATCCAAGGGTGGCCATGGGGTGAGGTGCAGTGATTGCTAGGTCGGAGGCTATGGCTGCTTTAGGCTTTGATAACTATTGCCAAATTGCCAACCAAAAAGGTTTCACCAGTTTTTAGACTCACCAAAAGTATGTGAGACTGACTGACAGGTGAAAATGGCATTTTATCGTTTTTGTTTGCCTTTCTTTAATCACATGTGGACATCTTTTCTTTGTGTGTTGTTAGCTGTTTCTGTTTCTTCCTCTGCAAATAGTTTGTTCCTGTCTTTCTTCATTTTGCCTTTGGGTTGTCATCTTTTCAGACTGAAAAGAAAGCTTGGGAAATAATCCTTTGCGATATGTATTTCCGATATTTTTTCAGTATGTCATTTATTCTTTTTTGTTTGTTTTGAGACAGAATCTGGCTTTGTTATCCAGACTGGAGTGCAGTGGTGCAATCTCGACTCACTGCAACCTCTGTCTCCTGGGTTCAGGCATTCTCCGGCCCTCAGCCTCCCGAGTAGCTGGGATTACAGGCGCCTGCCACCACGCCCAGCTAATTTTTGTATTTTTAGTAGAGACGGGCTTTCACCGTGTTGGTTAGGCTGGTCTTGAACTCCTGACCTCAAGTGATCTGCCTGCCTTGGCCCCCACAAAGTGTTGGGATTACAGGCGTGAGCCACTGCGCCTGGCCTGTGATTTATTCTTTAATGGACTTGTTTTCTAGAAAGTACTTGGTGTGTGTGAACGATTTTAATTTTTTAATCTGTAAGTGAGTGGGTTTTATTTTATAATTTAATGTTTTTGATTACTACATTTTTAGGGTTCAAAGATCAAAATAATATAAAGTTATGTATTGAGAAATCATGCTGCCACCCACTTTTGTCTGCTCCATTCATAAGTAATCATATTTTTTACTTTCTTATATATCCTTGTATTTTAGTATTACAAGTACAAGCAAATATGAGTGTGTATATTCTTATTGCCCCCTTTTCAAAAAACAAAAGACAGCATACTATTTATATGATTCCACACCTTGACTTTTTTCTCTAAATAGCATATCTTAAAAGGCAGTCCATGTCTGTGTAGAGAATACCCCGTTTGCACGCCTGAATGGTAATTCCATTGTGTATAAGCACTTTGGTTTATTGGAGGACAGTTGTGTTGTGTTTGCCATTGCAGTGGTGTAGTGAAAAACCTCGTAAAGATGACCTTTCACGCAAGCGCAAGGAGGATTGTTTTCTGGGTTACAGGGTAAATGCAAATGGAGTTTTACTGTTTTATGCTCTCACCAGCAAGCCATGAGAGCGTGCCCGTTTCCTCACAGTTTTGCCAACAAAGTATGTTTCCAGCTTTTGGGTATTCATCAGTTTGAGAAGAAATGGTCATCAAGTGTAGTTTTAACTTACATTTCTCTTAGTGTGAGAAAGGTTAAATTTAAGAAAAAAATGTGTACCTGCTACTTGTAGTTCTTTCTTTTTCTTCTGTTACTGTTATGGCTTATTTTTTATATTTTTATCTTGACAGCTTCGTCTTGGATTAGTATGCAGTATGGTTCCAAGTACATCTTTTTTCCAGCATAGCCCATTTCTACCTAACTGGTTTGAGGCACTGCCTTTATAAGCTTTTAGCTATGAAATTCACTTCGTATCTGGGTCTGTTTCTGAACTTTGTGCTCTGTTTCAGTTGGTCTGTCTGGCAGCTTACATTTACATCAAGCTTGTCAGTCTCGTCCTTTGGGGTTTCACGTCATGGTTGGGAAGATGATTACTCAATGCCTGGGTAAAATCTATAGTGCTTCCAAGGCTGCAGTGTTTCCATTGAAATCTTTGATTCGTTTCAAGTTCATTTTGGTATTAAGGGCTCTTGCTTTTTTAGAGCCCTTGTGTTTCCCTGCTCCTCTCTCATGCTGAGCTTGTTTTATTGGTCTGATTCGGGTTGTTACTGTTTCTGTGATAAACAACAAGTTCTATTCTTTTCCACAGACCTCAGGTGGTGTCATCTTTGGTCCCCCTTCAGTTTAATAGATCGACACTATGGTATTTACACCAATATATTCATGAATAGCTACTTCTGGGCAAAGACAGATTCAAATAATCAAACCCACATTTTTATATTGCTTCTTTCCAGGAGCAGCTAACTGGCACTTCTTAGGCAGGAACATGACAAAAAAGGAAATTTACCTTGTGGGGTCTGCTGTCTAAAATTTGTGACATGGAAAAGAAGAATAAGATAATAAAATGAGTTAATGAACTTCAGTTCTCTGATTGTGCCAAAGTGAGGCTCTGTAGCCATCGAAACGCCCTTGCTGGTCTACACGCACATTCTCAGTGGAGGGAATCGTATCCAGAGGGGGAGATGGAACCTGCTTTGGGGAAAGGGAGTCATCCCTGCATCCCTTTTAGCCTCTTTGCCCCGTAGGAACACTGTACACGCACCTGGGGTGTAGAGATTTGGCAAGGTGATCCACAGTTGTGATTTTTTGAATT